TTTGCATGGCTTGGAATAACTTGGAATTCCTAGGAATTCCCAATAATTCCCAGTCATACTTCCACTATTCCCAAATATTCCCAGAAATTCCAAGGTCTTAGATAAAGCGTAATTTGCATGTCTTGGAATAACTTGGAATTCCTAGGAATTCCCAGACTACTGGGAATTTGTTTCGCAGGGGAAGTACCAGTAGCAACTGGCACATGTAATGTAACACAATTTTTTGCTGAGTTAAACATCTTTGCATGGTTTTTTCATCACTTCCAATCCATTCAGTTTTTTTTTTTTTATGTTTGTTATGACAGTGATTAATCAAGTGAAGCAAGTTTCAATTCAAGACCTCCAAAAAGTACACACTACTGAAAACATCAGGAGGGGTGACAAAGGTCACGAGAAATTTATTGTTTCTTTGCAAGCTTAATTGCTTGTATCAAAAAAAATTTGCTTCACTGGTTCTCACAAAATGAGAATCTTGTCTCTCAAGACAAGACCATCATATAGTGAGACGAGAGTGTCATCTCAAGAGAAACAAGATGAGGGGTAGTAACTTACCTTTTATTGGTACTGTAGCTAGGGGAAGTCATATGTGAGCAGTTCTTTAATTTGGTTGGTCAGTCAACCAGCCATAACATTTATTTATGATTGCCCAACTTATTATGACTGATTAACTGACTGAATGACTGCCTTAGCAACTGACTGGCTGATTGATTGATTGATTGATTGTCCAATACAGCCATAGACAGAGGAATGCACTGACTCTTAAAATATTAACTGACTGACTGATTGCCTAACTCATTGATTGATTGACTCATTGGGGCACTGGCTAGTAGTTGTTTAGCTGATTGATTGACTGACAGACTGACTGACTGACTGACGGTTTTATTGATTAGCTGCAATTTATTGTAATTCTGTATCTTAATGTGGAAACAAAACCACTGCAACCAAAAATAACAAATACAATGCATCTATATCCAATCTTGGAAAATTGTTTGATTTTTCCAGTACATTTTGGTTGGAGTTTAAGTGTCTCATTCTCATTGATGCATGTTGTGTGACTGTCACATTTTTCAGTTAACTTTGGAGATCGAGTCTGTTTTCGAGAAGATGTGTCCTGCACTAATTCAGTGATTAATGGTAGGTACAGTGCACATGTAAACTTGAAAGAGTTTTAAAGATTCCTTAATCTCAACTTAGTACTGGTGCTGATGTCACAAAGGCACTAAATTTTGTAATTATTTCAATCAAAAATGTAACACTCGCCTCTCTTGATCTGAAAGGTGTAATACCAGTATATTCATCATTATATGTAGACATGAGTGTTTTACTTGAAAATAAATTACTTGTAAAATTCATACAAAACCACATCCGGGACTTGGGTGGCATATTTTACATACAGTATTCTCACTAGTGAAGATATTGATGACTTCATTGTTTTGTTTTGTTTTGTTTTGTTCTGTTTTATTATTTCCTCCATTCATTGTCATATTACAACGGTATTTTTTATATCACAAAGTCATTGTTGTCATTGATGTCATGTCTGACCATTAAAATGTACTTAAATTTGTGGGTGTATGATCGAAACATCTTCAGATCTTCCTCGAAATCTTCGGTATGTTTTGGAAATTTTTGGAAAATGTTTGGAAACATTCATGTGGCCTTCACACAATTTTTGGAGAATCTTAGCAAATTTTCGCAAAGTGGTTAGAAATCTTCAGAAAATTGTCAAAAGCGTTATCAGTTTATGTTTGTATAACTATAAACAAAAAAATATATGGTTAAAGTAAAGTAGTTTATTAAAACTCTCTTGCATTAAAACAACTGAATTAACGAGTACATTTTACAATCTTAAATTACCCAAAGTACAGTAATTTACAAATATAACAGTGGTACTATTAATTGAATCACATAAAATTTTTAATTGTAAAAAAGTCCTCTACTCTCTTTGTCGTGCAGGCCTGCATGTTAGGATCGGAAGTACTTTGTCTGATTGGCTGACACTAAAAGGAGGAGTGCCCCAAGGAACTAAATTGGGTGTAATCCTCTTTACGGTGATGACAAACAGACTGCTCTCTGACTGGTGGCTGTGCATCAAATACGTCGATGATACCAGTGCTCTCAAAATAATTCCAAGGAACTCCCCTAGTTTACTTAATGTTGTGGCCTCAGACATTCATAATTTAGCTTGTAGACATGGAATATCTCCTCTCATGTTCAACTTTATATCTTACTCATTCACTGTGCTCACTCATTAGATATCGAGTTGAACACTCAAAAGAGATATTCCATACGGTATCTACATGTATGAACACCCATGTATTATCCTCCGTGTAGGGGATTGCCATAATGATAAATAAGTCTTGTCAACGATAAATAGTTCTGCATATTGTGAATTGGCACTTTCAAAAAGGCCAAAAAATGAAGTCGGAAATGATATTTAACTCTTCCCTATAAGGATGTCATTATTCCATTCAATACACTACAGCAAACATAATTATTATTTCATTTACTGTATTACAGATATGTTTGAAGGCACCATAAAGTGTGACTGCCGTCTGGCTTGTGATGCGATCAATTATGAATCAACAGTGTCAAGTGCAGTGTTTCCCAACCCAACAATGATTAAAATACTACAAAACAAAGGCTACAACAGGACAAATGAATACTTAAGGTAGCAACACGGTGGAAATTATTTAGAACATTAAATCATTTGCCATGTACAGTATGATACTGGAAATATTTATGGAATGTTATTGTGTAGCAAGGGAAAAGTCAATTAGGCACGAGAAAACTAAGCCCCAAACAGTAATGGTACGCATAATCTTGAGATTTGATCACATGTCCTGAGCTTTATTGTGATTGGTCAGTACACAATAGACCTGTCAAAATCATATCAAAGTGTTCACAGTTTTTTGAATTGCACAGTAATTTACTCATGCTATAATAATTTTGCTTGTACAGTTCATAATTAAGGATTATGAATTAAGGATTGGACCTAAAAAGTAAAAGAAAAATTTGAGCATGATGTATTTTTTCTTGCATTAATAAATACATGTTTTGCCGGAAGTAAGGCAAAAGGCTCAGCACTATGCATTCTATTACATAATTTGTACATGTATACACTGTAATTGGGCCAGTAATATGCATTTTGCAGAATACTCTGTACCCTATCCAGCCAAAGGGGATTCAAAGTCTACACTCTCAAACCAATCCATGAGTGAAAATACTTACATCATGAGGATCTGACACATCAAGCTCTCTTATAATACTCATTGATGGACTACAAATGCCCCTTCTTTCTTTCCTCTTAGGATTGGTATTTCAAGACTAGCATTTTTGAATTTCAAAATCTGCTCATGCATTTGAGCACATTGATATTTGGCTCGAGTATTGTTTTTCCTTTGTTTATTCCCTTAGAAAGAACTTGGTTTTTCTTCAAGTTGGCTACAACTCTCTCAGTTATGAGTATTTTAGGCAAACATCACAGTATGATAGCGGAGCACTGATGGGTGAGTCAGATTTTTGTAATATTTCTATTGCTTGCAACCAGAGAAATGGTTGCAATTGAATAGTAGTAAACACGCTTGGGTAAACCGTCATCTTGAAATTGCAATTATGGAATCCTGGCAAGAGATTATAATCTCTTGATCCTGGCTAATTTCTGTAGTCTTCTAAAATGCTGCCGTACATGAAGTGGAGGCGTGACTTAGTGGTTATCGTATCAGACTCCAGATCAAACGGAGGGGGGGGGGGAGAAATTTAAGAAATTAAGAAATTTGTGTTCTGAGAAAGTGGTAACTTGTATTGTTGGACTTTCTCAGCTTCAGAGATTGGTATTGTGAAAAAGAGAGTACATGTATGTGGCTTATCCAATCCAGATTTTTCGCCCCACGTCACTGGTCTATTTGTGTTTAGAAGAAGCTTTTTCTTGGTTTCTCATATTTTCGTTCTTGTCTACAGGTGAAATTGGTGGTAACCTGGGCCTGTTTCTTGGCTGCAGTATTCTTACCATCTTTGAATTTGTCGACTTCGCCATTTACCTGTGCCGCACCCGTATCAAGAAAAAGTCCTAAATATCCAAGTTATAGGGGCTTCCAAATTACGATCGCATTTTACTGCTTTAAACCAACAATGACTTCTTAAACGAGACATCTCCATTTTCTTTACACGTAGTTACTTAAATAATGTTATTTAGACAATCCATTTTGCCTAAAGGCGCGATGATACTATCCTCTTACAGCACTGTGCTAAGGTTAAGAGACGAAGCTCGCCAAATTTCGTATACTGCTCTCCCGAAACTTCGCAGGTAATTTTCTCTTGCCCTGTTCACACTTGCCTGTAACAGGTTGCCCTACTATTACACATTCCCGCGGAATAAGCCGTGTGAGCAAGGCTCGAGAAACCGACGTTTAAGGAATGCGGTTTAAGATTAACATGTAATTATTTAGTAGAGAAAATACATGTATCTCCCCGCCTTAAAGAAGCGCACTCCAATGCCTGCACTGCACTGCACTGAAGTGCACTGCTCACGTGAACGGTGAAATCGGCCATATTCAATTCCATCGAAATTATCGAAAATCGAGCAGTGAATCGAAATCTAGATTATCAGAAGTTGGATTACCAGATGTTTAATAGCGATTGCGCCATGAGCATTGTACGGGTATCGCAGAGGTCATGGGTTCGAATTCCGTTCAAGCCTGAATTTTTTTCAGTCATTAATTTCACCACTGCTTAAGGTGTTTGTATAACTGCGATGATCAGTCTTCATATTTAGCTCTTATTAACCGAGCAGGGGGTCTGTATGAGAGAATCTTGACCGAGGTCGTGAGTACAGACCGAACGCAGTGAGGTCTGTACACACGACCTCTGTACACACAACTTCTGGTCAGAAGAAATTAAAAGAAGCACGTCTGTTCCGGGCCGGAGGCTAGGAGCCAGGGCCGGGACCCAGGGACGGGGCTGGGGTTCGGGGCGGTGGCCGGGGCTGGAGCCATCGATTTTACGCATTTTTTAAGCATTTTTTGAGATTTTAATCCTTTGAAATTTTTACACTTTACTTGTTTTCTTGTTACTCGACCTGCTACTGTCACTCGTCTAATACTGCGTTGCCTTGTTCAACAACACCCTCGTAAGAAGTGTTTTTCAGTTTTGTTGCTGATCTTAATCGGACATCCAGGAAATTCAAATTTTGAATGAATTCCCCTGGAAAATTTTATCGTTCAACCTTTATTATCAGACTAATTGACAAATACTGTTTCAACCAACTTACCTAAAACACGATTTTAGTTCAATTTTTTTCCCATGAAATATACGCAGTATTTTAAAAGTTACTTTATCAAATTACAGAGATACTACGCGCGCTCTCATTGGTCGATAGGTGAGTTAAAGTCTTAAAGATTCGTGCGTATTTTTGAGATATATTTTGAAAAAGCAATAGAGTACGTGTTTCCTGTTTACATAGCCTCATCTAAAAACTCCGGAGGTCGGGAGAACTCCGAAAGTTATAACTGTCTCGAATTCTCCCAACCCCACTCGTGTTTTGACGAGGCTATGTAAAAGAGGAAAAAGTCCTCTATTGCTTAAATTTATATTATCAAGATATTAAGCGTCTTTTCTTGCGCGTTAGAATCATTTTAGAATGGAAAAAAAAAAAACCACAGAGTAGAAAACATGTTCTCAGAAAGGATATTCAAAATGTTGGAAACAGATCGAGGATGAAATTTGCGTGTCCTAGTTTTAGTGTTGTGGAATATTTCTCAAGTGTAGAACCGATGTTTTGACGATGCAATTTCGACATCTTCCTTGATTAACTGTTTGATTACCGTATCTCAGTGCGGGTCGAAATTTTTGACGTGGAGAGCACGCTGTTTCTTGAGGTTTTAACTGAAATTCATTTATCAAACGGTCTTGCTAGCAGCAGGCTGCTAATGAATTTTAAATGAGCACAACGCTTTTCAGTTTTAAAGACATGTTTCGACAGTAATGTCTTTGAACGTCAGTGTTGTCCTTCCTTTAAAATTCATTTGTATTTTAAAATTCATTTGTATTGTGGTTCTTAATCCGTCGAAATTCGACATTTCTTGAAAATGAAAGCAACGCAGAATGATGGTCTCAAAGCTAGAGTCACAAAATTTAGACTTGAACGTTTGAAGAACGTCCAGGCAATAAATGTAGTATGTCATTGGCGGATGAATAATCAAATTTATGGGCCGTTTTCATCGCTTGAGGCAACCTGGATACAATCCATCAGTTATGTACCGATTAACGTAAATAACGATCATACACCTGGAATTAATATACTCTTTCCAAAAAGGATTAGGGCTGGAGTCAATACGACAGAGAGTAATTAGTTAAGCTCGAACATGGCGTAGATGCTCTTTCGGTGCGTGTTTCAATAGGACAACCTTCATTTTTGATCCAATTTCCTCGTTGGTATACACTTTTAAATTTCATTTGGCTCGGTTGAGTTGAAACAAGAAACTCTTTTAACCGATGTAATTGAATTTGAGATATTTATTGCAGCACGTACAAGAAGCAAGAATAAATTAGATATTCAATAAATTGGCTCACGTTTTTGCCTTCGCGTGATGTGTAAAAAGCATTCCCAGTTTGATTCCTTGTGTGTATTTGCTATGAAATGAATTTCCATTGGCAATGCTAACACTCCAACATCATACGAAATGGTAGCTGAGAATTTAGTTTCTGTAGTCTCATTTAATTAGTTTCTAAGTGTGTTGAGGTAAAAATTGCTGTTGTTGTTGTTGTTTTTTTTTTTTCCAATTTCCACTCCCCAGTTATTGAAGAGGGTAAGTTAAAACAAAGTTTGATACATGGCTGTTTGATTCATTGGAAAGCAGGGGACGGCTAGTCGTGGGCAGTTTTGAAAATTTGTAGAAACGGGACATTATCTTCATTGGATGATTCCTTTGTTTTCATGGCTTTATAATTGCAAACTGATATGTAAGAAATATTTACATAAAGATAGGCTAAAGCCTTTTATGCTGTCAAATAGATCTGAGCTGATATCTTTGAAAGATTGACAGGAACTTAGATACGTCACTTCTACGATGATAAAAGCAATTTTTCTGGGCATCTCAAGTTTAGTTTGTTTCATAACACGCTCACATGTATGTCTTCATGTATATGAATCGAAATCAATACGAGTTTTGGAATCCGGTTGCATTTTTTGCCACTTGGTTATTTTTCAAGCGTTGGCGTGTTTTAAGCGCCTAAACTGTCCCACCTCGACGTTTTTTCTCGAGGTAAAGATACTTTTTTCGGTTTTCGTGAAGCATTAATAAGATTACATTGTTTGAAATTTCAACCAGCTTGTTTAACGCTACAGTGTGTTGCTTTTCAGTGTATTGTTGTTGGAACACTGCTCGGCTCATTTAAATTCAAAACCGCGTTTCCTTCTTTTCGCTGCATTTACTTCGCAAACATTGTAATGGTTCATAATATTTATTCTAGGCACGAATTGAGGTTTGGGGAATTGTAATGACTTCTAAAAGTATTATTTCATATCCTTTTTTTCTTGTTAATCCAGGAAATTTCTAGTTAGAATATTCATTATTTTCCCTCGCACACATCCTCCCCGCAAGAAGGATGATTATCTTTCTGGTCTCACTATTCAGTGTTAAAAGAAAAACAAACAGAACCAAAAGACTGCTTGACAGATTGCAAGTGCATCTTTAAAAAATGACAACTTCGCCAATGGTTTCAGTGTTTTCTCGCTGTCCAAAATGTTTAGAGGCGTTTTACTTTGCTTGGTAACCCAGTCTTTACAAATTGCAAACCACGTAAAAGTGCTTAATGGTAATACAATAGCCCCGAAAGAAGACGTAAAACTCTTTAACCTTTACATTTTTTAGTAGCAATCACTTTGTCTGAGATGCAAATGATTTTTTTTTCTCAGTCCGATGAAAATCGTTGCGCAAACGTTTGGTGGCGGACCCTCGTAATTTCTCGGATGATCAGCGATGTAATGGTCATCGCCTGCCTGGTATATTTCAATACTTCCTAATTCATGGCTGTTAACTGAACACTAGGGAACGAAGGAAGCATCACGTTGTCATTTTACAGAAGTGATATAATTAACGTTGCAAAATGCATATTTCAGAAAGTTAAAAGCTTGGTCCAGGTGAAAACACAGTCAGAATCCTGAAAAGCGAGCATTAGGAGTTCTTAGGACCATACGCCTGTTGTGTTTGTTATGTTTTGTTTACCGCTTTGTCAGCTACATGGTAAGCGTCAGCGATTATAAGTGGTCTTACGGTGTTCAGCTGGAACAGTATTTATTCTTTTTATCACTCTTCTTCGTGCGCCGGCGCGTTTCATGACGCACATCTACATAAGATACTGTTTAAAGATTGTCGATATTGTTTCCATCGGTCACTCTTACTATCCGCCGGCGGCAACAGGAGGTTGTCATCTCTCGCCAATCTTTTCATTTTAATATGGTGAACTTATCAAGGCATATGGACAACGACGCACTAGATGATCTGGACGATAAGCAAGAGGAGACAATTCTCGGCTTCAGTCCAGAATTCGATACGTTTCCAATTGTCCTAGCAGTTTTTATCGCGATGTTCAACTCACTTGTTCTGTTTCTCACTACAAGGGTTCGATCTCTTCGAACGGTAACGAACTTAATCCTTGGCAGCTTGGCGTTTTCAGACTTGCTTAGTGGTGTACTTGGAATACCTTTCTACTTGGCTTGCTCTGCAATTCAAGAGAGAGTGGTTTGCGGGATCACTCAGATGCTCACGAGGTTCTTCTCGATTTCGATTGTTCTGCACCTCTTTCTAGTTTCTGTCGATCGCCATGTCGCTGTTATCCACGCCATACGCTATAGCTCTTTGATTACGAAGCGAAGGATACTCTCCTTACTTCTCTCGGTGTGGTTAACCGCCGTATTTGTCTCCCTGATTCAACTCTCATGGATAGGCCTCGACATGAATGTTAACGAAGGTATCGAGGAGAAAACCGCAAGAATAATAATCATATATGATATATTTTGTATCATCTTATTCTTCTTGGTACCACTTATAACAATGATCTTTTGCTACATCACAATATTTCTTGTTTTGAGAAAACAGCTGCGAGTAATCGAGCAAAACAACACGCCGTCTTTTAGGAAGAACGTACGACGATCCAGTGCGCGCGAAAGGCGCGCCGCAGTAATTTTCGTGATCATGATAAGCATTTATATTTTCTGCTGGCTTCCTTATTTTCTGCTTGGCCTGTTCCATCTGATTGGGAATGACTTTTTCACGTTACCAATCTCAGTTGAATACACGCTGTTCTACTATCCTAAATTTTTGAACTCTCTTTTAAACCCACTGCTTTACGTAATCTGCAAGCACGACTTCCGGCAGGCCTTTCGTGTAATCAGAAGAAAAACAAATAAGGGCTCATCGTTGAGTCTGCAAAAAACCTATGGAAAAGGATCTCAGCGGGGACAAAATAGGGAAAGTCATTATTTAGAACACTTACCATCAAATCGTGCCTAACTTCTTTAGCGAATTGTGTTGACATTGCCAACCAATAAATGAAAGTCATTTAAGAACTTTAACCCTGTTTAAAACGGGAAGTTTTTAATCCTGGTCCACCAAGAGTGGTCGGAGTCCATCCTTCCCTCCGTAAACCTCATGAAAATGTAAGCAATGATAGTGAAACGTACAAGGTACCGTGTACATAGTACGTTCAAAATATGTGACATAAGATGAGGACGCCTTGAATCCACCATCTTGTTTCTTTTTTTTTAATTATTATTATTACAAGACGTCAGGAAACCACCAAAATTGGTCCAACCTAAGCAAAGTCAATAAACCAGTGCTAACAACTCCTAAACATGTGAAGACAGCTGCATTAAAAGTTAAATTTTCTCAAAGGAAATAGATACAATTCCAAGTTTGGGAAATCGTGTCTGTGAAAATACGATTGCTGTACAGGAAGCACGCGGATCAGATTAGGCTGTAATTCTGCCGTATTCCAGCTAATTGACTTTAAGTTGATCTTTCTGACTTTATAACTCTATTTTCTGGTTATTGATGCACGAATCCTATTAAGGTTTTTTTTAAACAGCAATTTGTTTTAGTCCCTTTGTCAAACATGCATCCCACATACGTACTTTGTCGTTAATCATTTGCGGTCTTCCTTGTCAACGTAGAAGGGTCAACCGCCTGATGCGTGATGCATGACATTGAAATTTTGTATTATAGATCATATCAGACAGAGACTTTCAAATAAGGAGACAGTTGTGTCTACGTTTAAAATGAGTTTCATTTTATTTTAAGGAAATGTTTCCTAATTGCGGTTTCTCTTTGAAATCTTATAAAAAAAGTGTCTAAGATATCCTTGTACAATGTGAAAGAGAAGAAGTGAAAGAGGAAATAGATCTTTCACAGGTCCCAGTTTTAATCGCTTTTTTCTTTTGTATTGATATATAATTAATTTGCATTAACATTTTTTTTTCTAATGTTTTATTGCTGATAATCATATTTTGTTGATTATCTTTTACAGTATGTAGTTAACAAACGTCTTCGATTCTGATTTTTTAAGAGCAGTAGATTTAAACCCAAGTTGTACTCCTTAAAATGGCCTTTGTGTTTCTTTGTAAACAGTGCATAAGCACAAAAATGTGAAAGTGAGTATAAAAACTTGACAATTGTAACACGAACGAATATAAGTGACTGTCAGTAGTGGCTTTACCCAATGAAAAATTGTTGTCAAATTTAAACGTGCTCAGAATACATGAGGCCGGAGTTATGGGAGACACGTGAATACGATTTAGGGAACAAGAGAGTTAGGTTTGAGATCAACACAAGCTTTTATTTATATTTTCTTTCTTCAATTATTTTAATTTTACTAAATGATTTGAAATAAAAAAAAAAGTACTTCTCAGCACACAGCAGCTGATTCGTGATTAATAGTTACTACTCGCGATGTTTTGAAAGCTCACAAATTGCACCCGCCTAAAGGCTCGTGAAAGCATTCACTAAAGCACTCGTCCTGTGTAATCACGTACTCGAAGTTGGAGACTTCTATACTTATTGTGGCTAACCTATTATATTGTCAACTTTTCTCGGGCCCTTAGGGTCTAAGCATGGCTTATACGTAGGATCTATATAAAAAATCTTGTCTTATCTAATTCATTATTTTAATAGTGCTCGTTTCGACAGTAACTTCTGACTGTACTTGAAAATAGCTATGATGACATTTGACTTGTGTTGATGGTTATCTCAATATCTTTGTGTGTTAATTATACAATCGCCCTTAGGAGGCGGGTGGTAATATTGTGGCAAGTGCATAATTATATAAGCAGACTCGGTACCAAACTTGGTAACATGATTGTTACACCGTGAAACCACAATAATCAGTTTTTCAGAATGAAAAAAAAAAAAAGCAATTTTGGCATACGATGGACATTTTCGGGTTAACAATTTCCGGCCTCTGTAATCACCTATAATTGTCATCGTCTTTGACATAATTATTCTAGGTCATATTTAAAATTATCAATAGGAAGAGAACAATAATACAGAACTGGGCAACTGTTTTGTTGCACAGCGTAGATAATATCATGTATTCCAATTTGGCCTGGATAGAGGTCCCGCGTGAAAAGGCTGAAAACCCGCCAGTGCTGATGTAGCTTCCTCTCTAAACAATGTAGTATATGTTATTTACTTATTTATCTATCACATATAATTGCTTTTTTCGAGATGGCAGTCCACCAAGACCGAAAAAAAAAAAAAACAGTTGTATACAAACTCTTAAAACTGACAGCTGTTAGATGCTAAATTTTCATCAGTTTTTAGTTTTATTTATGCCTCCATTTCTCGCGAGGCTCATGCATACTTTGTTCCTGCAGCGTGTTTGATGACGCACATCGACTGTCTTTCGTTTGAATGCTTTATTCGCCATTAATTTGTTTTCATAAGTAACTATCGCTATCAACAGTTCACTATCAGCACAAATGTGAGGACGAATTTTTTTTAGTATGGATAACTCGACAAGTAATCTTCAAAACGACCTGCTGAAAGGTATGGACGATGAAGAACAGAATATCCTTGGCTTCAGCCCAGAATTCGATACGTTTCCGTTACTCCTTGTCATTTTCACCGCAGCGTTGAATTCCCTTATCTTGTTTCTCACTGTAAAAGTGAAGTCTCTTCGAACGGTAACGAACTTAATCTTAGGGAGCTTGGCGTTTTCAGACTTGCTCAGTGGTGTACTTGGAATACCTTTGTATTTGGCTTGCTCTGCAATTCAAAAGACCGCGGTTTGCGGCATCACCCAGATGCTGACGAGATTCTTCTCGATTTCTATTGTTCTTCACCTCCTTCTAGTTTCCGTCGATCGCCATGTCGCTGTTGTTCACGCCATTCGCTATCGCTCCTTGGTTACGAAGCGAAGGATACTCTCATTACTTCTCTCAGTGTGGTTAACCGCCATCTTTGTCGCCCTGATTCAACTCTCATGGCTTGGTCTCGATGTAAATGTTAACGAAGACAGCGACGAGAAAACCGCAAGAATAAACATCATATATGACATATTTTGCATCATCTTGTTCTTCTTGGTACCACTTATAACAATGATATTCTGCTACACGACAATATTTCTTGCTTTGAGACAACAGCTGCGAGCAATCAAGAAGAACAACGTGGGCCTGTGTGTTAAACTGGAACAGCGGCGTTCCCACTCTCGTGAAAGACGCGCGGCCATAATTTTCCTGAGTATGATCGTTGTTTATATAATTTGCTGGCTTCCTTATTTCCTTCTTGACCTGCAGCACCAGTTTGGGAATGATTTCTTCTCGTTACCTGTCTCCGTTGAATACGCAGTGTTTTATTATCCTAAGTTTTTGAACTCTGTTTTGGATCCTATTCTTTACGTATATCGCAAGCACGACTTCCGGCAAACCATCCGAGCAATGATAGGAAGATCTGGAGCTTCACGCGACGAAGGACCATCGTTAAGTCTTCGAAATACTTATGGAATTACGGAAAAATATTCGTCCAAGTCACGCATTAGTGACGGGAAAAGAGGAAAGCTCAAAATTCATGAAAGTTATCTAGCCGAGCCGCCTAAGGCATAATACAGACCTTTACGCCACACCTACTGAGGAAAAATAAATGACGGAGACCGTCGTGTTTTCGAATGGGAAATTCGAGAAAATTTGAAGTCAACAACTTATAAATAATCTAAGAATGATTTTATTTTTCAGAATTTTCAAGGGAAATTGAATAGCAAACTGTGGTAAATTGTGTTGCCTGCTTTCAAGAAACTAAAACACATCTTTGTCTGTATTTTAATGAACTGTGGTTTTGCTTCATTTGCTGACTACGTTGAAAGAATTTTCTTACTGTAATGAACAAATTTTGTGCTCTTACTTTGTTTATCATCACATACTATGAATTGACGTTTGCAGCGAACTTATCTATTCTGCGGCGATCAAGATTGGGTAGATTAATGAAGAACCCAACTCACCAATACGAAATTTATCTTTCACTCCATTTATATGGACTTATTAAATGCATGATATGGTGAGGTAAAACGCGACAGGGGAACAAATGATCAAGTTTCATCGCATAGAATTTGTTAGACTAAAGGTCTAATATAATGACTGCTGATCAGACTTTTGAATGGACTTCTGAAAGGATTTCTGAACAGACTTTTGAACAGATTTCTGAACGTATTTCTGAACAGACTTATGAACGAACATCTGAAAAAACTTAAAACTTATCTTTTTGGGTCAGCGCTGAATTACTCTTTCGTTCACTGACGCACATATAAAATGTTTCCTAAGACGCAGGTGTTTCAGACCATATTGTCAGGCTTCATAAATCTTGACAATCGTCAAGGCGTATGTTTCTCCCTAAATGTTGGCCTTGTTATGGCGACTCTATCCTGATGGGTTTTTCTTATTTACTAAAAGGTCTGATACTAATCCAAGCGCCTCTTTGATCCTCCTTTCATTAACATGAAATATCACAAATGGGGAATAGTTACGTCTATCTAAAAGAAGCATTACGTCTATAGTTCATAAGCAGTGTCAATTTAAGATAGTCAGCTGATTAATTAAACACGGCCTTAAAAGGAAAAGAAGGTTCCTACGGTAGCTGTCGATCTGATGATGTTCTTGTCATTACTGGATTGCCAGACGGCAGTGTCTTAAGAGCTCAGTTTATTGCATTGTTATTGGCTTCAAGTTTTCGAATAAAGTAAACTATAAAGTAGTTAGACCTGAGACAATTCAATTTTAAAAGAAAATCTGTGTAGATTTTTTTAGGATTAAGTTAAAGTCAACACTGGGTCACACGAAAGAACTAGGAGTACTGCTACTGGATGAGTTGCTGCAGTTATGACAATACAGCGTAAACTGTCTTCAGCCCAACTGTCTCATAGCTCTCGGCGTTTATCTCCGGTTTCTGTAGCAAGAAGTGGCTAGGAGTATCTGTTAGTCCTCCCGGATGAGGTGCTATTCTATCGCAGGTTTCTCTCCAGCATTAGCGCGTCCGGTCTGAATTGAGTTAAGCAACGATAATGAGGCTAGCAGAGTATATAGAGAGGGTTAAAAATGCGACGCGCAGCAAAATTACATTTGAACTCTCTCCTCGGCGTTTGAAAATGAAACGAAACACGGTCTCTCGTTTCTGGTATATTACTTTCAGCGGCTAGCCTCATCTGGGCGAGATATTAAGGCTATATTTAACAAATTTAACAATTATTCTTCGAAGGCGAAGAGAACTGTGGTGAATATTTACTGAGATGAAGTAAAAGTAAATATTAACCATTATCATTCATGCATTTTTTCGTCCTGGCCGAGAGATCACCATGTGACCTGCAAATAACTGCCTACAAATAATGATCCGCTCATTCGTAATACCGACTAAATGTGTTTTTGCTGCAAATAATATTCTGCTCATGCGTAATTTTAACCACGTTCTTGTCAGAAAAATGACAGATCGCTTCCCTGAGTTGTCAGAGAGTGTTCTAAATATGAATGCAAACGTGGTGATCGAATGATAAAACAATTATTGAACTCGGTTATCGCAAAATATCATGATTTGTCAGTGTTCCGCAACCAAGGGCGACAGTAGTCATTTTGAAAATTCCTTATACTTTAAAATTGATATCCGGTTCCTGGACTTGATTCGAGCTCGAGTGATGTCTTCCGATTAAATAAAAATTTAACGCAACACCTGTCCGTCATGTTTACTTGCCAAGATAGCAAAGGTTTATTCAACACTTGTGGAAAGGCGTAATATTCCAGCTGTTTCTCAACGTCATTTGACATTTCCATAGCAACCACAGTTTAACATCTAGAATAATCTTCCTTCCCGTTTTATTGAGTAGCATCGTAGTATTACTGCCGGTTTACAATCTGTTATATTCTTGGATTTATTTTCGATAAATTTGCGTCATATCTGGACCTTCTGAGAAAATAGTACAATTCAAGATGGCGGACCCAAGATGGTGGTCATATAAGGCGTCAAAACGGTTGATTCCTGCAGAGTAAGCTAATTAACTGTTACATGCAAAGTAATTTAACATATGTTTTACGACGAAACTGTGACCTAAGGGGCATCCACCCACAATTCCCCCCCTTTTTTTATCAGGATGGGTTAATTATTTATTTGTTCGTTTGTTTTAGAGAATATTATGCGTAAATTTCCATTGCCTCTGCTTCACTGTCTTCACACATCTGTGAAAAAGTTACCTCCAGTTGTTTGAGTGAACGACGTAAAATAATGTGTATAGATTTACACTTGAATTGTGTGACATACTTAGCACTCGCTTAACTTATAATTCCCTGTGTAATCATGAAGCTGTAAACGGTAAAAACTCGGATGCACTTGAATATTCATAAAATTTTCGAGACAAAGTCAGAACAAAACAGCGTGAAAGACCGCATATTGAGTGAAATAAAGTAAAGCTGGATTTGTGTAGAATGTCAAAGACAGAATGTAGCTGGATTTATTGACAGAAAACGTTGGGTTTTTTTTTTTTTTTTTAATTCCTTTCGATGTTATACACTACTTTATGAGTAGTATGATGTGTTTCATTGGCTGTGTGTGTGCCCAGCTGCCTATTCAATATATGTTCATGCTCAACATGCGTAACTTATGGGTCAGCGGAAGGACAAAGACAAATACCTAGTTTTCCGAGGAAATCGAACTTTTTCAGACCCTTTGACTTCTAAAAATGTTTCCTACAGTACGTTTTAATGTCATTTGGTGAACATATGTCACTCATAATCGAATTATGATCATTTATCGGACTTTTAGCAAGCGGTGAAAGAAAACAAAAGAATACTGGGTGAGTAAATATCTTATAGACTTTTGTCTAGCGTCATGATAAAGTCTGGCTTAAACCACCTTCTTCAACATTTAATGTATCAAGAACGTTGAATAAGCAAAATCACAGAAAGTTTCGTTCATAATACTCTCAGTTGCACGTTCGGAATTTGTTTCAAAGTGTGTTTTAAAATGTGTTTCATCCGCGATCTCGTGATGAATCGAAGTGTCTCGAATTTCATACCGCCGGCAAAATCTTACATCTTAAAGCGGTATTTTCGCCTGTTTCCCTATATC